GAGCTTCTTAGAGGATGCTCTGTAAGAACGCTTACTGCACACCACCATCTGTAACGGTGCTGAAAATGAAGACTTGAACAAGGTGCTTAATCCCAGAGAGGCAAATAAAAGATGAAATGACTCTTGAAGATATGTAAAAATATGCAAAAACATCTCTAAGGACAACCCTTTTTAAAGGCTCTTGATAATGAGGAAAAGAAAAAAAACATGACCTTTACAGAGGAACTTACATTTATGACTGAATGGAAGACGGGACATCTCCAAAAATAAAGATACCGAAGCAAGACAGACATACAAGGTGAAAAAAGGCCAGTGAAAGTAAGAAATGATATGGAGAGTTGGCTCAACCAAATATCCAAGTTAAGGAATATTATCAGAAGAAATGTACATGCAAAACCTACAAAAATATACCAGACAAACTTGCAAATTGTGGCATCCCTTCAGAAGTCATCCTGGTTTTGAAAAAGCGAGGGGAAAAGAAACACACACCGTTACAAATTACCTATCGCTAGTCCTGGCCAGCCATCTTGAACTGGTGCAAGCGACTGGTGCTTCATATGCCAGTTTATAATCTCTAACAGCCCAGCAAAAAAACTGAACAAAGATACAACCATGCTGCATGACGGTGCATGTGCACAGACGTGAGGCCAGAAGACAGCAGATGAGCTCAGTGGAATGCAAACACAATGAGGAGGACAATTGCAGGACAGGCAGGAGAAACTGGAGAGCTGCAAGGTGAACTACTTGAAAAGGACTAGGAATAACTGGTTACTGTTCTTTCCATGCTCGATGAAAGAAGCCACGCCACAAAGTATTAGAGGCCTAAGGTAACTTTAGAGAGCTGCCTGAGAACAGGAAGAGCAATGCACACCTGACATTGCTATAAGCCAAATCATGGAGGAGTGTTTAGACATTCATTGACTTCAATTTAAAACAAACAAACAACACAAAACCCCCAAAACAACCAAAAAAGCCCCAAATCAACCTGCCATAGATCACAGAGCTAGAGAACACAGCAGTAGTTCTTCCAAGGAAGTATGTTAATGGCATCGTAATTTCTCACAGATAACCTAAACACAATGCACAATTTAACCTCAAGTTACGAAGTGTGTCTTGCTATCCGGCTTTTGGAATGGACATGAATTTATTAATAAAAAAATGCTTGAATCTCCTCATTCTTTCAGAAGAGACAAGTGCACTCACAATACATGCATCTTTACATTTCCACAGCTTTCTGTCTAGCTGATAATGAAAATATTCTACTTCACCTAGAATAGGTACCCTGATTCCACAGCTGTATTTGTTTTTATAAAATTATTTTTTAAGTATTAGGCTGTCAATAACAAAGGCTGGTTTTTTTCTCGTCTGTGACAACAAAATTGGAACTAGGTGGGGACACAAGTTGCTCCCACTCAGTAGCAAGAACCAGCTATCAATAATTTCAATGATCCAGATTAAAATGCTTATGAGTATCAAATCTCTCATCCATATACTCCTCTTGTTCTTCATCACATTACCAGATGTGAAGTTTTTATATTCTTCTAAAAGCATGCTTGATGCAATGTTGGAACAACTCCACCTAACTTTAATTGCTTCACAGCATCTAAAAAGGCTTAGAATCCACTCTCTGTATAACAAACGTTTATTCAGAAACAGATAATACATTATCTTCTCCAACCCCTGATGTTTCCTCCCCCTCCCCCAATTATCTTTTTTAATAAAACACAGGTGTTTGACGGGCAATCTAAAAAAGGAGAACAATAGCTGTCTCAGGTCCCCTCCGCTACAAACATCTGCTGTTCACACGAAGCACCCTACCAATAATGGTGTCATTGGCTTCCACATCAAAGAGGGTACTCCAGAAAAAACAAGTCCTGTCAAGTCCTCAGTTATTTCCATGGCTAAAAGGGATACAGTGAGATAGAGGAATGGTCTGCACAAGCTAGGTAAGAGCAAAGAGTTAATACAGAACAAGAAAGCAAAAGAAACATAGGGTTGACCAAGAAATGGAATCTGGACCTACAAGGGTTACAGAGAGTTCATTAAAGTTCAGCAGAGCTGAACAGAACGGATTAGGTTAGTCTCCTAGCTACAAGGATCAAGTTCAAACCTCAGCCAGATTCTGGAAGTGGCTCTTGGCTTTCCTCTCTTATAATACAATTTGAACAAATACCAACGAAGGGAGCTACTGAGACTTCGAGCGTCCACGGCAATAGCGCTGACCGACAAAGGAAGTGTCGCAAGTGCCACCTAGCGGCCTGTGGCTCTTCGCGGATGCTCACTGGCCCAGATACATCCTTGCTGCTCTGCATGGGACTTGCCTCACACTCCTCTCCCACGTGTTCCTCACAGTGCTAATCCCTCTCCTCTCCGAAACCTCTCCCTGAAGCCATGAAGTGCAGCAATCATCCTCCAAATTCATGCACGCGAGCAGCATGCCCGCACAGCGGCCAAACATTGCCCAGATGACATCTCTCGAAGCGTGTTCTTGGGCACAAGAAAAGACTGCTTCCTATCTATTAACATCTGAAAAAGGCCCCAGCTCCTTCCTTTTTACAGGAGACTGAGTAAGTTACAAGGTAGGGAAAAAACCCCCAAGGTCCCTGCATCAGCAGGAGGATGCAATACAGTCTAACAGAAGGAAAATACTTGTATTTCCTCTAGCTCTGAACACAGGAATGGTTATTTCTCAGTCCAGAATGAAGAAAGCAACTGAGCCCAACCCTACAGGGCTAACTGTACAAACACCAGAGCCTTTCCCCCCGCCCCCCACCTCTCTGCATTACCACCTGAAGCATCCCTCCCCGTAGCACAACGGGTGGTGCACTTGTGCACGTGTCCTTTCTGCCTGATGCCTCCGTTGGCTGCCGTACACAGCAGGAAGCGCAGTTTTTTCACGCTTCTTCCCAATGTCACATCTGCTGAGCAGAAAAATGTCCAACAGCCAGAATGAAGTAGTGTGCCACCGAATTCCTAAGTCAAAGATGCAAGATAGTGCTTCCTCTATGGAGCCACACCAGACTGTGTACCCAGTGGAGCAATTTCAGAAACAACGTGGTGTTCTTGCCTGCTGATAATCAAGGGGATGCACCTTTTAGTCAAAGGTCAGTCAGAAGAAAAGAGAAGGAGATCACCACTCCTTCCCTCAAAGTCTATGTGCACTTTTAATGGCCACTAGGGGCTTTGGAGTAAAGGAGGGAGTTACATGGTATATGCTTGGTAATACATTACTGGCAGAAGGGGGAGGTTATTTTTTTGGGAAAAAAAAAGAATCATGGAAGAAAACTCCAACTATGAAAACAGAAAGTACACACACAAGAGGAAACACTATTGTACAGTAAGGTAGCGATCATAGAAAACAAAATTTCAAGGCAGGCAAATGCAAATAACATCTGCACTCCTGCACTGTTCTCATTCCCCAACTTAAATGAGTTTTCCAGTCCACTGCTTGCTCCACCTTCTCAGAGTTTAATTTTGAATTCTGTGGGCTGCACAGAGGCAGAGACCCCTGAGGATTTGAAGAGTGCCTTCAAGATAGTGTCAGGGTCCACTTCAGCTGGGGGATTTGAGGAGGCGCTTGCACTTGACCGGCGTGGTTCCCCTTCCTTCTTGACTGAAGGGGTATCACTCAATCGGCTGGAGGATTAAAAAAGAACCAACAGTACTTAACCTCTCATTATGAAATAAAATTTTAACACTATGTCTGCATTTACCTGTTACTGGTGTCGCCCCCTTACCAATATTAGAAATAAAGGTTTAAAATATTCTTTCCTCAAGAAAACTTCCTCATCTCAGACTTGTTTTGAACCTCAGGGCTGGGAACATTATGGAGTCAAGCTATATTGCACTCAGCTCAACAGAGTGCCACAGAGAGGAAGGGAAGGAAAATATTCATGGGACAAAAATTTGCCAACAGTTTCCCTCCCCTCAGGTTCTCCTCAAAAAAGAACCTGCAAACGTGTTTGGTTCTTCCCCCCACCCTAAGGACACTTACAGCAATATAGGCTGGTCTGAGGTGATGACATTCCCATTCATATGAAGATTGCATTTCATTGGTTGACCTTAACAAAAACAATAAAAAAAGTCCTTCTATCAGAACTGTGGTAAGGCAAGGCCCCAGAAATATCACAGAACAGTGCAAGCAACAGAGTTCCATGTGCTGGGGAAACATGAGAAAGAACAGCTGATACATCTTTTGTTGCAAAATCACAGCAACAGAAGAGCCACTGAAACACACAGTACCTTACGAAGAATCACAGTAATTAAGAAGTTACAAATAGGTACAAAACCCTTAGCAGAGACACAAAGGAATCTCCCATTCTCAGCTGTCTGCTCCTCACCTGACATTTGTAACGTGTCATTCATCTAGAGAAAGAAAAGGTGTCTATTTCCAGCTAAAAATTAACAGCTAATTTGAGTCCATAACAACATTGTGGGTGGATCCAGATTAAAAATTGCGTTGTTCAAAGTTTATGGAGAAGCTGATACTAATTGTTTTACAGTTATGTATGCCTTGAGACTTCTGCAAATATTAGTTTTACTTGTACTTTGCTAACAGCTATTCTGTAAGCAGGTAAAGCTGTCCTGAGGACTACCTAGCTCTTGACACTGGATTATAAATAAAAGAAATTTAATGTGGAAGTTAGACCAGCAGACTCACCAGGACTCTGCCTCTAGCTTTGAGCATCCTCTTTCTAGGAAAATGTTTGTTTCAATTTCAGTTAAACAAACTGTGCATATATTCAGCTACTTACATAGGAGTGTATTACATTGTCTAGCCCTTGAGCTGATTTTCTGGCATTTCCTCTCTCTTCGCAGCATAAAGCATCCGAAAGGCTTTTAAACTCTCTGCTGAGGTGGAAAAGTCATCGATTTACCCATCCTAAATGCAACTGTGGCCTCAAACTTACCATCTAAGCACCTGTTGTTGTATTTCTTATATGCTGTGATAGCATCTTCTTTCTTCACAAATACTACCTCAGCCACTCCAGGGTGCACCAGCCGGGCTCGCTTCAGAGCGCCACACACACAGAATAACTCCTGAGGGCAGAGAGTTAGTCATGACCAAGGTCACATCAAACGTACCACTTCAACCGGAAACACCAAGTGAGTAAAGCTTCGTTTCCTAATTGCACTACCCCTCCTGCTTAGTAAACACACGGCAGAATCCGGACACTTGTCTTACGGTGTTTGCTATGGTACGAGTACTTGGCACTAGTAATACAGGTTGCACAAGCAGAAGAGTTCGAGGCCCGTACTCTACACTGTTTGTCACACACGAAGACCAGGCCTGTTCTCAGCCTGATGAAAACAGAAGCACCTAGATAATTTGGATGGGGGCATAAGTTTAAGAAGAACACCAAGCATCATTTGGCATGAACCCTTCTAAGGGATGTCAGGTATCTCAGTACACCCTAGAAAAGGGATCTTGTCCCATCTTCGTAAGCACACTTTTAAAAAAGTGAACAAACCCCAAAACAATCAGGAACCAGCAAAGGTTTTGCAAGGAAAGAAAACCGACATCATACCCTTCTCTATTGCATTCACCATAGATCAATCGATTTATCAAAACAGGTAGGATAAGGGAAGGAAGCGCCACTCATCCACAGTTCAGCAGTAAGCAACACTCACAACAATGTCTTCCTCTGTGACTCGAGGGTGCAGATTGTTGACGGTCATCTTTGTGCCTTCCAAAGGACTGAATGCCAGCTGCCAACACAAACAAATGCATCGCATAAAAAAGGTCAGAAATGCAGTAGGCAAGACAGCACAGCAGAGAAAGCATTACAAAAAAAGATCACAAAAGGGATGTCTTGGAAAGTCTGTACACACACACAAAAAGGAGAGAGCTACAGGTAGTAATGGGAAGTATCAATGCCTGCTAAAGCCCAGCTCATCTGACGCTGAAGAGGAGTCCCTTTTCCACGCCAATTTCTCTTTGAAGTAACTTTTCTCTTTCATTCCCACTTCTAACAGTAACTTAATCCACAGACATACACAGCACTCTTTGATCATGCCCACACTTTTAAGCACATCTCTGCTTCACTTTACACCAGCCAGCAAACCCCAAAACATGGCTCCAGCCCCTCAAGAGCATGCTGAACTCAACACGCCTGGGAACACCTGGTGGGTTTCCAACACCAGGCAGTTCGGCAAAGCAATTCCAGGCAGGCCGTCTATAAACTGCCTGAGAGTTCTTGTGTTTACAGCAAGGAGTTGTATTTAGAAGAGTGGTGTTTCTCTCCTTGCTAAGAGGAGCAGACAGAAAACAACACATCTAGCAGTGTTAAACCACTATTCCTAGGGACATGGAAGCTATCAAGGTGTGTCCAGACAACAACTGCCACCTCCCTGTACCACAGATTCCTCCAGGACCATGTGCTTGCATGCCAAAGAGGAAAGTCGAGAGAAGCAAGATGCACTACCTGAGAATTCCCAGTCTCTCAATAACCCTGAAGAACAGGATGTTTAGACAGGTTTCAAATACTTGGGCTATGGGTTGCAGTTATCAGAATAAGCTTGATGGAGTCCCAGAAACAATGGTGCCAGGCAGAAATGAGCTGTTCACATAACCAATGAACACCAAGTTTCAGAGACTTGTTCCTATAAAGAGCATCCCCCACTTCCCTGAGCTCACCTCAACAGGTGTTGGTTCTTTTGGAGGCTCCTCCTTTGTCACTAAGGTCCGGGACATATTTGTCAAGGCCTTCGTCCGCATAGGAGAGGGAGGTGCAGGTGGAGCTGTGTATGTATCATTCTGGACCACTTTAGTCAGGGGAACAGTCTTGGACAGAGAGAATTTATTGCCGCTCAGCCCAGTCTACAGGAAGAAAGAATAAAGTCTCTCCGAGAGCTGCAGGCTACAAAAGTCATCCCTCTTTTTCAAACGCCACCAGCAGGAGAGTACCACTAGCATGCACTAAGAACTGCGTGTCCTTCCTGGCATCAAAACCACGACAGCGCTGGAGACTTTCACCTTTGAGACAAAAATCAACTAAAGTTTCTGGTCGTAAACATAAAAAGATACTTTATCCCAAAAGAGCACTTCCCTCGCTAACGAGCACTTTTAAGTTTCATATTCTTCGTAAATGAGCTTTACCAATGTGATCTGAATTTGAAAAGCTCCTTTTATCCAAAGATTTTCAAGTACTTCACAAAGATTTCTCATGAACAATAAGACTGAGCTGCCCTAGTACAAACAGCAATACTTCTTCAGAAAGACCAAGCCAGGGCACACAAAGACACAGAGCGTAACCTTTCTAGTCAAAACTATCCAAGTTTAAAGCCAGAGTAAAAATTGCACTTGTTAGCTGCTGCGAACACTGGAGATAACACATTTACCCCTGAAAAAAACCAACAAAACCAAACCCAAACAAACCATAAGGCTGTTTTTAGGGATAACAAATGGCCAGATACCCACATAAGAAAAAAAAAAAAAGGGGTAACCATTGCACTAGACTGCCTGTGTGATGGTAAAACCATGAATTTGCTTTCTCAGAACCACAGAATAATTTAGGGCAAGCCTATGTCCCGTCCTCCTGTCTGAAACACGGCTAACTTCAAAGACACATCAGGTCGGCTCAGGGCCTCATCCACTCAAACTGTGAATATCTGAGAATGGCAATTTCACTTCTCTGGGTCCCTGTGCCAGATCCTGTTCGGTACCCTGAGAACTGCACAACTCCCCTCCCCAACCCCCCATATTCAACCAGAATTTCTTTTGCTGCAACATTTTATTGGTTCATCTTCTCCCTGTTCACTCCCGAAAAGGACCTGGGTTTTGCCTTTTCTATTAGGCAGTAAGAGTGGACAGATCTCACTACAGCCTTCTCTTCTCAGCCTTGAAACCCTGCTCTCTCACCCTCTCCTCACACATCATGCACTGCAGCCCTCTGACCAACCAGTTGTACTGGTTCCAGTCTCTCAGTGTCTTTCTTGTTATCACAGAGCCCCAAAATAGACACATAACTGCAGGCGCATTTTCAAAATGCCAAACAGATGGGAATAATTTATCTTCCTTGATTTGCTGGCTATGATCTTACTAACATATAAGCTACAGTTGGCCTTCACTGCTGGAAGGATGCACTGCTAACTCATTCCTAGTGTATCACTCAGCAAGACCCCCCAGGTGCTTTCCTACAAAGCCGCTCTCTAGCCAGTCACTTCTCAGCTTAAGCTGCAAAGGGTTATCCCATCCCAAGCGCAGGATCTCGCATTTGCCTGCACTGAAATTCCTCCTTCTCCAGAGCTTCAGTGCTCCCCAACAAGCTGCCGACTAAGATTTTGCATGGCAAGAGATTTCCTGCTTTGATGTCCAGCCTCTAGAAGCAGGAGAAAGCTTCGCTTGCTTGCCCAAACAATAACGAGATAGGTTCAAAGCACTTCCCCAACAAGAAGAAAGTCAAGAGCTAACATGCAGCAACCTGCCAGCACGGGAGAAAGCACACACTGAGGCTGCAAAAGGTCTGTGGAACCACAGCTAGCCTAAAAGGACTCTGACATAAAAATAACACTAGAAGCATGGGCACAAAGGGAAGGGTGGGGTGAAGAGCAAACATTTCAGGAGAAAGCATGGTTTACATACTTTAAAAGAACATAAGCCCTGTAAAGCCGCAGCCTGTGTGTCCACCCAATGTGAGCATGGCGTGGTGGGGACTGTTCAGATAATCCCTTACCGCGTTGTGCAGGAAACTGTTTGTGGTGGTGATTTTCATCTGTTTGCTAGCAAGGGGAGAGACACTTTCATCATCATCTTCCATGTCATACAGACCCTGAAGAGAAGCAGGGTAACAGTTCACAAGCAGGTACATTTAATCTAGACACCATTTCCAAAATAAGTAGTTTTCTCCTGTCTTCAGCCTTCTTCAGGTAATGAACATGACAACATTGGCCTTCACTCTTGTCCTTGCAGCTTGGGGACACAGAGCCGAAGGTAAGCAAGTCCATTTGAAGACATCAGCGTAAAAACTATCAAACTTCTTTTCCAGAAATGCCACAGGAAAGCTGTTTCCCTATGTGTACTAAAACCACATATAGATTTCTCTAATCCCCAGACCTCATCAGGACTGGTGAACCACATTAATGGAATAAAGCCTCAGTATCTTTCTTTTTTGCTACCTTTAAAGTTGAAGAGTATGCATATGAATTTTTTTAATTACTTTTTTTTTTTTTAATTAAGCAGATGCCTGCCAAACACATCTGAACCAAATGTTCCTTTTGAATAGCCTGCTTTCCTCAGCACAGCACATATCCGTCTGGCACTAGAAAACACTGCACTAGGAGGTTTACTGAATGAATACTTAATTTCCCAGTTCAACTTTATGTTCATAGCCCTGCCTTTAAATAGAGGCACACAAATATTTTTTCATAGACACTAAATAATGTTAAGAAAAAGTCTATACACACATGGCATTGCCCAGAACGTAAGAAGTCACAATTCAAAACAGCTTCCTATTAATTCAGTAGAAAGGCAAAGAAAAACAGAGTGATTATCAGTGAGAGCTAACAAAGTAAGAGGGTCTTCATAGCCAGCAAGAATCTGGTTTACAAACAGGAAAGTTCTTCCAGTCACAGAAATGTTATGAAGGAAAAAACCAAAAGGGATGGTAGAACAGAGGAGAATTGTGCAGAAAAGAGCTGGGAAAAAACACTAGCCATCAGGACAACAGACTTGAGTTTGAGACAAACAAAATGGATTCAAGGCTTACAGTGATGAGGTCAGAATAATGAAAAGACTTCCTTAAGTGACAGCATCCGGAGTAGGTGAGGGCAGCAGGTCAATGTAGAGGTAACATACAAAAATAGCTACAGTTACCATAATCAAGGCAAAAAAACCCCCCTGGATACGATATTGTGAATGTCAGTTTTCCAATATTTCACCTAATACTTTATCTACACACACACACACAAAATAAAGTAATAAAAACGTGTAATTCCTCTCTGAAAGCACCCAAGTTGGTAAGGTGGCTCAACGGCTGGGGGCTGTGACAAAGGCCTTTAAAATTGATCCCAGAAGACACAGCACCTAGGGTCTTCCTCAAAGTCTGCTTGGTAAGGGATATGGTAACTTTGAAAGTACATCAGAATACCAGTTAACATCATTCACTATCAGGTTGCCAGCAGGGACCCACAGCTGGAATTCCACAGCAAGGTTATACCCTCTCCCATGTCACTGCAGCACATTTGACCGTGTACAATCATATCCATTCTCTGAAGAGGCTGGCAGGATGGTGAATCAAAACAACCAACAACTGGATCTGATGTGGTGTGACTGAGAAATTTGCAGAAAGACATCAGAGCCAAAGGTCATAGTCTCCAGGAAAAAACCCCATTAGCGCATACAGATAAAAACTGGGAATACCTAACTCTGCATTCATATAACACACAAGGAATCAAGATCAATTAGACTAAATGAAAACCTCAGTTACCATGAAAGTATCTTAACCATGCGAGAACAGGGAGCTAAGCTGTTAGAAAGCTTCCAAACACTTTTCCTTCCTATTTAAAGTTTTCTCTGCACCTGCAAATGTCTACGGACACCTTCCTTCTCCCACAAAGGTAACAAACAAGGAGCACAGAGCAGGCACACACCTGTTTGTGTGTATGGTTGTTCACCACGTTGATCCTCATTCCTAGTCCGGGAACTGGAGCCTTCTGCTACAGTTAGAGTGAAAGAACCAAAGCATTAAACACTACGGTCCACCAGAATCCCAATTCAGAAGATCAGAGCTGTTAGTTGATACCCTGAGACCACTTGAAGGAAACTCACTCTCCTGCTCTTGAAACAGCTTACCACAATACGCTATTACATAACGTCTCTGTTTCCTGTAATATGTTCAACATGAGATAGCTTCACTTAACCGAAGACATTAAAACCTAAGGACATGCAGAGAAACCAATTCAAATTACTGGAGTTTTAATCCAGGATTAGTGGGAAGGGGACTTAACCTCCAGCCCTGCCAGCACTGACTAGATCTGCATTTCTGCCAACACAAACCCATAAATGGTGTAAAGCAGTAAGTTTCTCTTCTTTCACACTACAGGAAATCAGAGATACCTATTTCCATCAAACTCAAGCTGGGACACAACACAATTTAGATCAGTTCCATTTCAAAGGAAAAGTATATACTGTCCCTTCACACTACAGCTGGAACAGCTGTAGTGGAATAAAATGATGCACAGGGTAGGGTAGCTGACCCTTCTGCAGTCTGTTACCCCATGAAACAGGGACACCACAACAAAAGTAGTCAGGCAATGTAGCTGTACTAATCAACAACTGAAATCAAGCTGCAACTAGCTCAAGAATGCCATTTTTGGTTTTGAAAAAGCTGGAAGCTGTCCATTACAGGAAAGAATGGGTCTTCTTACAAAAATATTCCACGCGGGCAGTAGAATCTTCAGATTTGCATTTTCTCTAGACTGCAACTTACACCACAGCACCCTCGTGTTTCAATTTGCTAAGAAACAAGGGTATCTGTCTTATGGAAAAACTAGCAGAGCTATGGAAATTCTTGGGTTTCAAAGACTTTTTTCCTCCCTGAGAAAGGAGACCACAGCACAGGACATTAGTGCTGAGTGCGCTGCATCTCAGATCAAGAGACTTCAGTTTGATTCTGCTCCCGCGTTTGGGAAGAGAGGAAGGCCACGAGCAATTTGGAATATTGGTATAATTCTTTAAAAAAATTATTAGATAATTGCTCACATGCACTGTTTTGTCTACGGACTTAACCACAATTATATTCTACAATATTTTTTCTTGCACTATGTTGTCTAACAAACAAAGTACTATAGGTCAAATCAAGTCATACAGAAAAAAAATTAGGTCAGAACAAATTGCTACTGTACCAAATCTCTGGAAACTATTTTAACTCCTAGAAACTTCGTAGAAAATGTTCAACTCCTAATGGCTGATGATGGTGATTTGGCTTAGAAGGACGGCGTGAGTGCTAATTACCCTGTTAATTAAAGCCTACTGAACAGACTGCTCTATTGCTCTGCGATTAGCCCTTCTTACTGTCACAAGAGTCCTTTCTCTTTCTTAGGTCAGCCTCGCAGCAAACATGCAGAGTAACGGGAAATCTCCTAGGCTAATTTACAGAAGAAATATGTTTGATACTCTTGAGCAAAACCCACAGCTGAGCAGAAAGCAGACTCATCTAGGCATTCAAACTGATGAGAATAAGCGATTTTCTGGATATGCAAGCACACTGCTGATCTTTGGGAAGAGGAAAGTGAAAGAGGCAAGCTAGAAAATTCAGCTACATGCTTGTAGAGACAAGGAACAAAACCACTCCTCAAACAACAATCCTGACAGCCTGGAAACTTCTCTTGTGACTCTACCCACTGTACCTGATGCACACATAGTTCAATAGTAGTTGTTTCTCAGAGAAGTTTCCTAAGAACCAACTTACTGCACACACAGCAACGTGAAATTAGAAAACTGTCAAAGGAAATCAGCAGGTTAAGGTGACCAGCTTGATTATACTGCAATTGAAATAAATCTTGAGC